TAGTTATTTACGTGTCAAGCTTTGTAAATGAATCTTTACGGGCGAGCTGGAAGTTTGTGGGGTGAGCGACGCATAATCCAGTGAGCTTAGTAAAGATTCATTGCAAAGCGTGATACGTACAAACTTTTATTTTCACCTTTAGATAAAGATTTTCAAGTTTAAAATTTCAATTAATGTGTCAAATGTGTCATTTCATTTAATAAATTGCTTTTCTACAAGCCTGTAAAACTTTACAGGCCTTTTATACAAGCCCGTAAAATATTACAGGTCTGTTCCCATAATGTATCGTTTACTTGGATACAAAAACAACAAAATTAACCTATAAACTGTCATTTACTAAGAAGGTGGAAATAAATTTTTTTTTATTTATATAAATATATACAGCGTGTCCTGAAATTAGTGCACCATACTTTAACAGCAGATTTTACGTGAAAAAATAAGAAAAAAAGTCCCTATAAACATAGGTCAAGAAATGCCCCTTGAGGGAGCTACAGTCCCCACAAGGAAAGCCCCTGAAGATGGTTTTTATTTAATATCTCCAAAACCGTTAAAGATATAAAAGTGAAATTTGGGAATTAATTAAACTTTTTATGACCAATAAGACGTAACAATAACAATTTAAAAAAATTTATGAGGTTTGGGTCAGATTGATAGGAAGTAGGGTTAAAACCACCTTAACTTTTTTGTACGTATCTTGTACCAGAATTTGGTGTCAGATTATGAAATTTTAGAGTTTTGCACATAAAAAAGGTCATCTTGTTAAACTTCGATAACATACACCGTTTTCGCATAAAATCGATATGAAAATTATTTTACATGGCATAAAAATTCACAATTAAATCACAACCATAGAAATGGACTCGCGTGGTCCTTGGAATACGGCTGCCATGTTAAGGAAAAAATAGAATAATTCAAGACAGGTGACAGTTTCATGTAGTAAGTGATAGGGTGTTTCTACTTTTTTATTTATATTAGATAAAAACCATCTTCAGGGGCTCCCTTTTCGGGGGCTGTAGCTCCCTTAGGAGGCATTTCTCGACCTATATTTATAGGAACTTTTTTCTTATTTTTGCAAGTAGAATCTGCTGTTAAAGTATGGTGCACTAATTTCGGAACACCCTGTATATATATATACAGGGGGTTTAAAAAATATATATATATATATATGTATAAAAGTTTACAGTCTCAGGTTAACAGAATTAAAGTGATTTTACATAAAAAATAATATAAATAAGGCATTTGATATTTTTTTGTATTTTATTTAAAAATATTTGAAATTTTTTATTAGTATTATTTATGATCGCTGATATCTTTGAAACGGTTGATCTGAAGAACTTTGATCTTCAGATGTTTTTTGTAGAGCGTGAAATTGTCTATAACTCCTCTCGATTGGGTGTTAAGAAAACAAACCATTCCAAAGTTATAAAAATTCAAAATGAAAAAAATAAAAATTCCCGTGTTATTGAAACGGAAAAACAAAAAATGAATTGAGGCAAACCTTAATATTAATATTAAGGGTTCAAATAGGCGCCAACATTTTTGTTTTTTAATGTACTATTAATTTTTCAACACCATTGGAAAAAAAATAATTGTTAATTTTTTTGAAACACCCTAATATATATACATATATATGTACTGAACCTTTTGTATGCTAATAATAGTTATTTATGTCATTAGGTTAAGAAGTAAGGCTTTTTGTGCTAAGCTCAAGGTTTGAAGGCCGACGCGTAGCGGAGGCCTACAATTGAGCGAAGCACAAAAAGGCACTTCTTGGCCGAATGGCATACAACATTTTATCTTCAAAGCACTTTATATAGGTCAATTTAATTCAACATTAAAGAGGCCTAACCTTACTTTTTTAGAATCTCATTTATTTATTAGGTAAAGATTACATTAAATGTACAATAATTATTATTGCTTTTAGAAGCAGTAGGTAATAGTTTGACAATACCTAGCAACATGATTTAAGTAGAAATGGATTTTTGCTATTAGGTACATTGAATTCAATTAATTGTTTAATAAATAGGTAGGTATCTAATTTCAATTTGTTTGGATTTTTATTTAAAAAATAGGTAGTTTGGAATGTTTAAGCTGTGTTTAACATTTAATTTCACTGAAAACTTAAAACAAATTAAAACTTAAAGATAATTTAAATCGTAGAAAAAGAATCGTGCGTTTTCTTGGATGCCTAACCTCACTTTTTGTTTTATATTTAATTTTACAATAATTTAATGAAAAATATTAAACATTAACAGTAAAACAAACAAATTAGTGCTTATTATAAATAAATGAAACCAGTTTAGTACGTTAATTTCTTAGAAAAGGATTAATTTGTCAAAACAATACCCCTAGCGAGAAAAAATCGAACTAATTACTTGCCTCATAAAAATTTTTATCGGCCTAGGCCATAACAAGGTATTTCTTTATCGAATGTTGAAAACATTAAAGTTTAAATTATAGACCGCGTGGAGATAAACCATATTACATATTTGTAAATAATTATTAAAAAATATATAAAACATTTATCATACCAATTAGCCACTCATCATTCCACTGCCCTGAAACATATTGCTCGTGCAACATATTTCTTACCAAACTTAATGCCCAAATTCCAGAATCATAAGTTGAGCCTGGAAATCTGGCATTGCAGTTTAGAATTCTCAACTCATGGTCACAAATCTAAAAAAAATAAAGTTAGTATTATTGCAAATTAAATATTAATAAAATTATTGCTAAATACCATTTGAACATTAAGGCTGTAATACCCCTTTCTATTATAGTAGGCTATCCCAGGCCTTACAGGGTCTTCAGTAGCAGGAGCCACAATTGCCACATGGATGCAATCAATGGCACATATCACCCCCAGAAGATTAAACATTGTTTCAAACCTACAAATTACAAACAACACATAAATAATTAAGTTTACAGCAGGAGGAAACTGAATGTGGTCCTGCAGTAAATGCTGAAACGCACGTACTTGTAGTTTCCTTTAAAATTTTACAGAAGGTGGAAACTTCAAAGGGAAAAAGGAAGTTGTCAGAAATGGATTTCTGGTAACTTCCTTGACCAAAAAAATTTAAAGTAGATAGCACCTAAAACAAATGCATAGATATTTATAATCTACCTAAAATAAACATACAGGGTGTCCATTAATTAATGATAAACATCAAAACCAGATTCTGTATGTAAAAATAATGAGATTTAAAATTATTTACCTATGTTCAAAAGTTGATTATAACCAAGATGCAGGGTGTTTTTAAATAACTTTGGAAAAAACCGACGTTTTTGCACAAAAATTGGTATTTTTCAGAGAGGATTTTCTAAAAAAACGGATTAGTTTTTAGAGGGCGCTGTATGCAAAACATTGTATATGTTTAAAGTAAAATAAAGTTTTTCCTTTGCCTATTTTTTAAAATTGTTAATTTAGGTAAATCAGGTTTTACCAATAAAGGACAATAGAATTTTGTATTATGTATGTATGTAAACAAGTTTTGACATTTTAAATTCATGAAGCAACCTGAAAAAGTAAAAAATAGGCTATATGCAATGCGTTGCAGACTGCTCTCTTTAAAATCTACATTAAGTTTTTTAGGAAATTTAAAATTTCTGCTCTGAAATATACCCAATTACCAAACTTTTTGCCAAAAAACATTTGTTTTTTAAAAACAAACATTTCACTAGGTCACCCTATATGCTGTATAAACTTGTCGGTCTGTGGGTTAAATCCATATCAATGGTTAAATTGTGGGAGTAATACTTTTACCTAAAGAATCATTTTGCTGTATACCATTAATTGGAGGACACCCTGTATATTTTTAAATATTATTTTAGAATGGATTATTTTATTATTATTGCATTTTGCAATATAAATTATTAATACTTCAATAATTTACCTTTAGTTCAACAGAAATTGCAGTTTTCCGTTGCCCCTACGTTAAAAATGGTTCTAATTTGAAAATTATTTGTTCTGCAACAAATTTAGTTAGGTACCCTAGAATATCGCAGAAACATTTTATTCTCCAAATTAAAAGGATTGCTGTCATCACGCAGCCTTCGGCGTTGCAAATTAAGTTCATGACTAAAAATATAAAAATTCATAATTAATATTACTTCGAGTGTAATTTATATAAATCGCACTTTCAGTAAAATTGTAGCGTACCTTAAAATAATTAGTTTGGAGAAATTAAATTGCAAAGACTCGAATTTGTTTATTTTAATTTGTTTATTGTTATACTTAAGTATATGGAGAACCTATTAAAACTATTTAAATAGGTAAACAAATTCCAGTTTTTACATTTTAATTATACCAAACTAGGAACTAATTTAAGGTTATGCCACTATTTTCCTGGGAGTACGAAACATTTTCAATGTATTTACCAAATTAATCAATTATTACTTACCTTTGATTTTCACCTTCTATCATTTCCTCGATTTCTTCCACAATTAGTTGCTCGATTTCATTTCCCAAATCGTTCATTTTTGAGTATAGCAATAATTAATTAACTATAAATAAACCACAATCCGTAAAATAAACGTTTTATCAAATCTATGATCAACAAAAGATAGGTTATAAACATGCCGCAAAGAACACGAGAGAGGTCAGGGTAACCAACCCTTCATAGAAAAAGAATATACTTCCTTTCCGATCGTGGCGCTAAATTCAAATTTAACATGTTTTAATTAAATTTTTAACGAGATCTCTCAAGCAGCCGTTTAAATTTCGAGGTTAGAATATGTTAAAATTGATTTATGAGTCATGGTTGCTTGGATATCATAAAGATAAACAGCCAAAAACACGTAGTGGGGGAAACAAGACTACATTAAATGAAACGTATCAGCTTGTCAGGTAATAAAACGCAAACCAATACTTATTTCTTTTCTGGTGATATTTTTAACATAACCAGTTAACAGGAAAGTTACATTAATTGTTTGCTAGTGTCATAGTTTAATGAGCTTTGAAAGAAAGACGTTACATTTTCTAATTTAAAACTGGTAAAAGTATTTTTTAAATGTTTATTTAGATATTTAGAGTATATTAACATGGAATTAAACGTTAATGTTACAACTTGTCCGAAAGGAAAAGGTAGAAAGAGGTCCCGCCAAACTGAAACCTGGAAAAGAGTGAAGAATCAAACTTTAAGGTAAGACATTTTTCTACTCTCTAAAAATGAAATAGTCAAAATTCTACTATTTGAATTAGTACCAGCATTTTTTACTACGTAAATAGTTAAAGTTTGACTAATTTAAGATTAGTCACCTTATTTGACTATTTCTGACAGTTAAAAGTAACTAATTTCTTTAATCGTTTACGGCCAACAACAAAGTATTATTTGAATTAAATGCATATACCTCTTTATGGTTAAATGACCCATAAAACAAATAAAGATGCAAAAAGTTTAGTTCAAAACAGTAACACAAATAATATATTAAACTTTAAAATATTATGAACAATATTTTTTGACAAATAATAGTATATTAAAGTACAAGTTGCAGAAGGCCACATATTCTCGCACGAATTCGAAATTTGGCCTCGAGCGACGAAGGAGCGAGTGGACGAACGAATGAGTGCGAGAATAGCCTTCTGCAACGTGTGATTTATACTATTTTCTCGATTTTAACTTTTATTTAGGTTTTTTTAATTGTTTTGTGGTCGTTGTTAGTTAGGGGATTTTTCTCGCAAAATGTCAGTTGGCAACACAAAATGACAATATTTGTTATCCTGCACAAGTACAACCTGAACTGCACTTTTACACATTAAACTTAAAATTTTGCATTAAAATGCATTGTTGGAGCAAACTTTATATTACAAAACAATAATAAAGGCTTCATTTTCAATAAAAGTAATGAATTTGAGGTTATTAATCAGTTTGACATTTTGGGGGTACCAATACTTAAAAACTAAATGTTACCAAAAATCGTTTAAGAATGAGCTTCATTCTTCAACGATTTTGCGTGCGAGAATATGACATTCTTACATAAAAATCGAGAAAATTTATTTTTAAAAGAGCGGCTGACAGCCGACTGGTTATGAGGTTAGGTTGACAAGCTTCTCAAGTGACAGACGTGAGTTCAATCCCAGGCTGGGTCAAAACTTTTTTTAAATTTTAATTTACTAATTTAACTATTTCATTCAGTGGAATTTGACTAATTATTAGTGACTGCTTTTTCGCTATTACAATTAGTCAAATATGACTTATAATTAGTTATTTTTGACTAATTCATTTTAAGAGAGTATATTTTTTACTCTCAACCTTTTTTATATATTTTTTTAGACATAAACCAAAAGATTTGCCAAGATTTCCAAATTGTAATCATGATAAAAATGTTTTTTCTTGTAAATTGCTAAGAATGAGAGATATTCAACAATTTCACAGTATGCTTTACTCTAAAACTGATAAGATTAAACAGGATATTTTTATTTTAAAATTCTGCAAGGGAGCAACACCTAAGAGATCTTTAAGAAATTCCCACAGAATTTCCATTAAATACAAAATTCCTACAGCGGAAGGCGATTTAATACGAGTATGCAAAAAGGCTTTCTTAGGTATAACTCATTTTAGCGGAGATAGGATTGAAAGAATTGTAGCCAATTTTATACGATCTGGTCAAATTCCCAAAGAAAAAAGAGGAGGCGATAGAATTTTGGAAAAAAATGATGCTGCTAAACTCTCAATTAAGCAGTTTATTGAAAGCTTAACTTGCGTAGAGAGTCATTAAAGTCGAAAACGTACATCTAGACTATTCCTGAGATGTGATTAGAATTTTAAGAAATTATTTAAATTACATCTTGGGCAAAATCCAGGTTCTGATGTCAAATTGTCTTATTTCAGGACATATTTAAACAAAAATTACAATTTGTCTTTTGGTACACCATTAACTGATGTGTGTTCTACCTGCTTGCGTACCAAAGAATTGTTAAAACAAAATAATTCTGAGGAAGAAAAAATTCAGATAATGACTGAACAAAGAGTGCACATTTTAAAAGCTAAAGCATTTTATGGCTCACTAAAATCTAAATCAGAAAATGTACAAATATTTTCGTTTGACTGTCAAAAAAATTTGCCATTACCAAAGTTGCCTGATCAATCTGCCTACTTTTCTCAACAAATCAATTTCTATAATTTCACCATTGTAAAAGGCAATTCAAAAACCAAAATAACTCCTCAAACAGCTCATTCCTACTCATGGTTAGAGACAGAGTATAATAAGAACTCTAACGTTATAGCATCAGCTGTACATGCCACTTTGGTGGCTAACCCCCGAAAATATCGAAAAAATCCATCTATTTGCGGACGGTTGCGGGGGCCAAAACAAAATTTCCGTCATGATGTCTATGTTGGCTTACTACTTAGTATATGAGGCACCTGCCCATATTAAATCTTTGGAAATTACTTTTCCGATTGTTGGACATTCATTTTTACCTCCCGACAGGGTATTTGGCTTAATTGAAAGAGAGATAAAAAAAACAATCAGTTATAGTTGATCGAAGAGAGTATAAAACTATACTTGAAAAATTCTCGACAGTTCACAAACTCGGCGAGGACTGGAGTATTTGGGATTGGAAGACAGTGGCAACCGACATCGTCAAAAAACCTGCTCAATGGCATTTCAAATTTAATGAGTGCAAAAGATTCATTTTTACTAAACAAAACGTAAAGAACAACATTACAGTTCGAGGTGAAGTATTTTATAAGTCAGATTTATGTTCTGAGGGTAGTATAGTAAAAAGAGGAAAGCATCTTTCAGGACTACGCCCTAAAAAAGTTAAAACTGAAAATTGTTTGAGGGGAAACAAATCCTCAATTGCTAGTCTTTTGGAGAAACACTATGGCCCTGGCTGGCGAGAAATACCAGAACTAGAGTTTTACAGAATTGTCGATAGTCCAGGCGAACCGAGTAACCACTCAAGTGATGATGAGAATGTAGATGAAATGCCCGAAATTTCATTAAGAATTTAAGTTTAACTATGTTAAAATTATTGTTATTAAAGATTATAATAAGCGAAAATGTTTTTTTTTGGTATTTGCACTTTTCACTTGCAAAACTTGGTCTTTGAACGAGGAAGATGCAAAACTGTGTTTTTGAATCTTTTGATTTCAATTATTTACTAAACTACCTAATTTTAAAGGATTTTTTTTACTTTTTTGAATAAAAATGATGCAATAGCACGTCTATACAATTTTTGCATTTTTTTTTTCAAAAATAAACTTATGCGCGGTTTTTCATGTTTTTCTTAAAATCACTTATCCTGCAAATACAGAGTTTTGCATCTAATATACTCATTTAATTGATTAATTTTAATATTTAACCTACTAAAAAAAATGAGCCTTCTGCCTGAAATTCCTGTATTGCGGTGGCCCGAAAACTCACCGGACATTAATCCCGATTGAAAATGTGTGCTTAGAAAAGAAACTGACAAGAGAAAATATTAAAACAAAGGCCGAATTAATAAAATCAATAACATTGAAAAAAATAGCAATAAATTGCGTCCGAAGTATGCCCCGCAGAATTGAAGCGCTCCTCAACAGTGTTGCCAGATTAAGGCCTAAAATTCCGTATAAAGGTAGGCCCTTGATTTTAATTAATAGGTTTATTTCTCCAGGCGCTTTCTGACTCGTAAAAAGATTATGTTCGTACACACATGACTATAGTAGTGTGTGTACGAACATATCTTTTTACGAGTCAGAAAGCGCCTGGAGAAATAAACCTAATAATTAAAATCAAGGGCCTACCTTGATACGGAATTTTAGGCCTTAATCTGACAACACTGCTCCTCAAAGCAAAAGGAAGTTTAACAAAATTTTAGAAAATGTTTTTTTTATCAAAACCGAAAGTGGCCAGGGACCGTATATTATGTAACAAGTTTGATACACGCCACGAATTTAATTTAGTCACGATCGAGCTTGCGAGCAAGTGCTTAACTAAATAAGTGCCTAGAAAAGTTTATAAAAGAGTTGTATACCTACTATACTTTTGCCACGACAAATACTTATTATGATTTAAAAATGATTTAAATTAAATATTAGTATACACGGAGAGAAAAATTTTGTCAAAATGGCTATTCAAAGTATCTGTAAATGTCGTATCGTTAAAATAATGATATGGTTTTACATAATAACGATACTTTTGTTTGATTCAGACAAACGACAAATAGCGCGCGTAACCGTATGCCGTTTTATCGGTATAGTTAACTACTTGGCCAACATGAGGATCTGTATAGCTGATTTGGCTATACGACAGATCACTATCGACTACCGAAACCGCGGAGTTTGCGCAATCACGCTTTTAACCTATTGCGCTGTCCTGTTGTGACGAGACGCTAAATGCCACTGGCGGCTCCTCTTACTGCGCATGATCGCTTAAAGGCACGTTAGTTACGTCATAAAACCAAACCAACCGAACCCGCCCCATTGGCCCCCCCGCCCCATTGAGCAAAAAACCCAACTAAAATGGGCAAATTTATGTTACGATAAAAATAAAACACTTAAGATATTGTAATAATGTATTGTATCAATCATTTTAATAAAATTTGTTATTTGAAATTATGATTCTTATCATTAATACTAATAATCAAAATATTGATAAACTTTCAGGTCTTAAATATAACAATTAAGAAATAATTCAGGTGAAAAGACCAACTTGTACATTTTAACCATTTATTCAGTGCCGGTTTAAGTTAGTTCGCCGCCCGGTTCTGACAAAAACACAACGCCCAATGCTTTAAAATATTACTTTTTTAAAAACATTTTTAAATTTTTAAGTTTTACTTTCTCACGTCAAGTGGAAGATTAGGTTGGTTAGGCTGGTATCTAACAGTAAACTTAGTATCCTATAAAATATAAAATGAGACTTTATAAACAAATTATAAAAACTAATCAAAAGCACTAACTAAAAAATAAGAAAAACTAATCAAAAGTTATAAATAAATAAAACATTATTCTTTAAATAAATATTGAGAAATCCTAATACTAATAATTAAAAGGTTGTTTTCAAGTCTTTATAGTAGCAAATTGTTTTATAACACTTTACATTTATTTCATCTAGCAGGTCTTGATAAATGGACAGAATTGCTAAGGAGTTAAATCTTTCTTGGGGAATTGTATTTCTTAGGTAGTTCTTTACCCTTTTTAGAGCAGAAAAAGATCGTTCACCACTTGCATTTGAAACCATTATAAAAAAAAATTCGCAGACAATTATTAATATTCGGAAATGAAGATATTAATTTATTTTCGTATAAAACTTATACTAATTCCAATAGAGTTTCTATTTTTATTTCCGAAAGGGAAGTTATCAGTTTTCTTGAGTTGGACACATTTTTGAGGAAAAAACTCATCCAAATCCTCCACGAAGATTTATGCTTTTAGATTAAACAAAAATTCAAATTTGTTTGTGCCAGATTTCTAGCTATCATATCGACAAATGATTTTGGATTATAGATTGTCAATTATTAAAATAAAACATATTGTTCGCATTGTTTCTTTTTTGCTTAAACTTGCCTCTGAATTATTTTCTTCAAATTGTAATTTTCTTATGATTATCCGCTTCTGAGCATAATTTTGTTTCCTGTTAATTTCCTCGTAATGATCAAAATGATATCACGTAAAAAATCAAAGTTCTCAACTAAAAATGACAAAAGATGAGCATTTGTGCTTAAATCCATATTTTGTTTTTGGACTGCTTTATTGGTTTCATTAACCCTTTGCAAAACGTCTATCCAAAAAGTTCAAATTATTCCGTTTCCAATAAATTAAGTTTTTCTGATGGAGAAGCTGCTTTAACTCTAACAACATTTTTCTCATTTGTATCCGTTGTATCCGCCGACGCAGTGTCGCAATAATTTTTTTTCTAAATTCTAACGATTAAGTATTTTTTTTTTAAATTATGGGCGGTACGCGGTACCGCCCCAAAAATATTTACCGCCCGGTGCTATAGTCCCCAAAAAACCCATGTTAAACCGGCACTGCATTTATTTCGTTGTATAACGAAATAAATGGTTAAAATGTACAAGTTGGTCTTTTCACCTGAATTATTTCATAATTAATAATCAAAATGTTAATCGGCTATAAATTATTTTAATTGTATGGATTTTAAGTTAACTTAGGTAATATTTATACAGTTAAATTTGATGTGTCAAACATCCGTAAAATAATAAGAATCTTCTACATGTCTACGACGATACGATCGTCATTTTGACGATACGCAATGAAAAAACGCGATATAGCTGAATTGGCTATACGGCGTATCATAAAGACAGATAACTATATTGCGTATAACTAAAATAGCTATACGGATCCTCATTCTGGCAAAATTTTTCTCTATAGAGCGACATATATAAAAAAATATAATAACCATTCTGGGAAATTTCAAATCTGTATGTTTAAATGGAAATGTATCCCTTGAAAATAGACCCTTTAAATTCGATATAGAAGCAGTTTTTTGCAGTGAAAGTAAAGAAAATGTTTTATGGGCACTCCACGGTGGAGTCTACACCCAAAATTAAGTTAAATATAGTTTACAGCCGTTGAAATTAAGGTCAGTTGAATGTTCATATAAACTTTTTAAATATTGGCGTTAAGAAACTATTTAATAGGTACTTTTGTATTTTTGTATTGGGATAATAAAATAATTTTTACATTTAGTATTATTTTAGAAGAAGGGCACTCTATTTTAACGATTTTATGATTTTTGACAACTGTCAGTCCGTGACTAAACACCTGTTACAACTTCAGCCCGTGACTAAACCGCCATAAAGGCATAGCTTGTCAATGTGTATTTAAAAATCACTTAGTGTCATGGAATCACGTACGATAATGGGGGTTTTAAAGGTGGGAGTAAACATATGAGATCTTATACAATTTTTAAAATTTGTAAAACACTACATTGTTGTATATTCGGGGATTGTTTATTAAATTCAAACATACCCTTGTACATAGTAAAAATTGACACTAAAATCAAAAACTACGATATAAGGGATGCTTTTGATGGCTCAGGTGGTGATTTTCGACTAGGCAAAGAATATACTGCATTTGTTTTTTGTCCTTGGACATTAACTGGTTGTATTTTTAAGTAAGACTGATTTCTCGTTAGGTGGTATCAATAACAACTTTCATCTTACAACACTTTTCACGAAATTCTAACTAAACCGGATCAGATGGCTAATTTTGAGGTTGTACTTTCAGGAATTATTTACTTTGGCATTTCCTTCAATAATAAGGCAATGTACGTTTTTTCACAATTTTTCTGGTTTGGATAACTTTTTAGAATAAGAGCTAAATATTGTTATAGGAAAATTTCATCAAACATAATTACCCCCCCAAATATAAGTCCTAAAAGAAATTAATACAAATATAATTTATGAATGCAAATCGCCCTCCTTAAAGTGTGGCATTATAAAAGCCTTATTTTATTACCATTACGCTAGATGGTGGTAAGGTAGATAGTGAATTTAATTTGCAAAATCGTAACGATTTCGCATCCAGCATCCTTAGATTAAAAATATCCCGCATCTCTGATGTACTAAAGTCTAGTTAAATATTGATAAGGTTTGGGATAGTTTTGCAAAAATGAAAAAAAGACATTATAATTTTATAATTTGAATTTAATATTTAAAAAGATTACCTAGGTAGGTACTTGAAGAATCTATGTTTATGTTTATGAGATATTTTGTTTTGGTACCTTATAATCATTTTCCCCAATATAGAAAAGCAAATAAACAACAAGTATTGTAAAATTATTTTCCTTATATGTTAACCCAAAGAAAAAATTATCGACGTCCTTGATTTGAACTGGGTATGCAATATGTTTAAAAAATATGAAAGGGCAAAAAATAAAGAAAATTTCTCATTTAAAAAATTTCGTAGTGCCTCTCAGGCACATACTTAAAGGTTAAATTGGAAAAAATGTTATTAATGGAAATTACTTAAATAAAGTAAAAAGAGCATAATAAAATCAAGATAAT